AAAAATTTATGAGCCAAGTTAAATAAGCTTTTAGGTGAGTTATGAGATGAAAACTATTAATTGTTCAAATGGTATATCTAGAAACTAATTGAAAATCGTTCTAAATTTACTATTGTAACGATTTTTAGATAATTCTGACATCCTATAGCATTTCTTGGCAAGGCTTTAGCACCTCAAAATCTAACAATGTCTGTATATGAAAAAGAATTATTTGCTTTAGTGCTAGCTGTGATCAAATGGAAACATTAGTTGGTTGGCCATCACTTCATTATAAGAACAACAAATCATCAGGCTTTCAAATATCTCTTGGAACAAAGGCTTACACATACATTACAACACAAATGGCTTACCAAGTTACTGTTAGGTTTGGATTATGAGATCCAATATAAAAAAGGTTCTGATAATGAGGTAGCAGATACACTATCCAGGAGAAGAACAGAAGATACAAATGAGATTCCTAAAATAGAAGTGATCAATCTGTGTGCAATCTCTTCAGTCAAACTAGGATGCATGGGTACAGGAGCTACTTGGCAGTTATGAAGGTGACACAGTGGCTCAAAACATCATTTTCACAACTACTGTTAGATCTAGCCTCCAATCCTGGCTACCAATTAGAAAATAGGATGTTGAAATTCAAAGGCAATTTGTATGTAGGGGCTGCTAATTGTTGGATCTCAATATTGCATTAATAAATGCAAATAATTTGTACCATCAAAAGTTAATTTGCCATGGGTTGAGGTGCAGACTAAGTTTTAAAATTGTTGAAAAAGAGTACACGAACAACTTCTGATCTTCAAAGGTAACCACCTTGAATTTGATAGCAACTAAGAAGTCCAGTAGGGTTGAGGCAAGTAGAATGCTTAAGATGACACGCGCCCCTACAGTATTTTTTAACCGATGTAGAAGGTTTAGTGCACCGCCTCTAGGATACAACAGTCCAACTCTATGATTGTTACTGCTCTTTAATCTGCACAACCGAGAGAAATAGAAGCTTCCTAATATCTTACTTTACCCAAAGAAAATCAAAATGAGGGAGAAAGAAATGAGTGTAGGGAAAAATAGTATTTAGATAATTTTTTGTTGAGAGAAGCGTATATATAAAAAATTCTCCAAAAACTTCACTACTTATAGGCTACACATACCTTTAGAAAACAGGTATCATGGTTTTTTCATACTAAATTGTGGTTAATTTATAGAATTTTGTAACCTAAAAATTTATTCATATTTGAATGGCTTATAAAGACTCAATAATTCTTCATTTGACCAAATAATTCATTTGTAACTGTTATTCAAATAGTTGTATAATAACTCCATTCAAAATTTATTGTAACTCCCAATATTATAATTCCCATAACTCCCAAATAAATTATTATAGCTCCTTGTAAATGCAAAATCAATATGCTATGCTAAGCGAAAGTTTTTTGAAAAATATCATATGTTATTAGACTACATGGGAGAATCATCTTTGTACTCAGTTGAATCTGTCTTGCAATGGTTACAAAACATCCTCCATATTAGTTCTTCTGTGTTTAAAGCTCTAGGTGCTTTGTAATTATCTTAAATTTTCAGCCAACTACATTCTATATACACTTAAGTATAGTGCTATTCTTTTTGTAATGTTGTTGCAGTCATTGAAACAAGTAAAACTGAAGAAGGCATTGAGATTCAACCATTGTGTTATATAATATTTTGTATCCTGCAAAAAAAATATATTGTACAAACACAAGCAAACGGGTTCTCATTCTAACCTTAACTTTCTTGTCTATCTGAATCTACATCTAATATTGCTCTATGACTCAAATGGATTTCGTGATGATCAAATCATCACAATTTGTCATAGCATTTCTCATCGGAATTTAACTGTAAAGGATGGAAACTTTGATGAAGGATGGAGCACCTACTTTGAAGACACTCTAATAAAAAAGGATCACACGATATTTCTCTGTAATAGAGCAAATTTCACATATGATGGAATGGGATTTTGTACTTCACATCAACTTATCTATTTGAGGTGCATGAATCCTCTTCCAATGTTTTCTCATCAACCAAGAGGTATTCTTGAAAATGAGATCTCTATGACAGTTAGCTCATCTATAAATAGATTCTGATCCATGACGTGATGGATTGTGACACTTTCCATCAAATTATTTCTTCAAAGCACAAGGTGGTATAGAGCTTCCTTATGTTGATTTGATATACATCTATAAGTTTCTTGTTTTGACAATCAAGCCTTACACATTGTTTACTTGTAGAAATTCTAGAGTTTGCTGCTTTCAAATTAGAAGAAAAGCGCACTCTATCAATTGTTCTTAGCACCCCCGGGGTTGGCTCGGCTGGTGCTGGGAGTGCCTCCTTAGGTCCTGGCACTGTGTGGTCGCGGTTCGATCTCTCCTATCATCTTGTGTCTCCTGGGGGGTAGGGGGCATAAGTGGAGTGGGAATAGTCAGGCCCGGAAATATAATCCGTTGAATCCCGGATACCCACTACGTCAGAAAAAAAAAATGTTCTTAGCAGTGGAACTAAAACTTACCATATTGGATATCAGGCAAAAAGCTCCACCACATTTATGCCTTCTTGTAAGAAAGAGAGAGCAAAAAAGAATGTTTGTTTGTCTGCGAGAGATGGAGAAAATATGCTTGGAAATCTACTAGAAATCTATGTCATTAATCATCATGTATCAATTTTATGAAGAATAATCAAGACTTTTTATTAAAAAAAAAAAATTAAAGGAAGCTAGCAGAGAAGTTTTTTGATGTAGTCCCTTAGTTTTATGACGAACCAATTTTGTCTTTTATGTCTAAATATTTGATTGGAAATTCAAACGTAGCTGTTAAAGAAAAACATTTAGAAGCTTAAACAATGTATAAATCCTAAAGCTCACCCTAGAATCTTTGCTATGTAAAAGCAAAAATTTTTGATACTGTGGTAAACATGAACTTAAACATTATTCTTGCAAGCACTATTTACTAGTACATGTTTCTTTTCACTTTATTTTCATTTAAGTATAAATCAATTCTTCTTGATACATTAATTAAGGTTCAATAGCTGAGTTGGAAAGAATGAAGTTGTTCACTACCGCCAATATAAGAACCTAATTGTGATTCCTTTTTTATTCTATATATTTCTGCTAGGATTATTTTCAATACCAAATCCAAGATGCTTATTGGTGCACACCATTACATCCATGATTAACAACATCTTCATTACTTGCAAAAATTAGAATATATTATCTGAGTGCTGTTTTTTGTTTGCAAGTTTCACAATTTTGTTTTGTGTGTTGCTCGGAATATGTAAAGATAGTTTTAAACGGACAGACTCAGAGTGGTATTACAAATCGAACCTATACTATAGTGTTCTGCAAATAATTCAAGCATAATAATTTATGGTACCTCATCAGAAACACCTCAAATAAAATTTTGCACATAAACTAAAGTTTTTGCCATTTATTAGTTAAAATAAAATATGTAGAAAAAGAATACTACCAATCTAGCCCAAAAATTGCTCAACCTTTGTAGCAATATAATTGTAATATTCAAATGGGGCAAACATGGAATTGGAGTTTAAAAATGAGGGCAAAACTCAAAAGTGATGACAGTTAATAGTACTAGATATTTATCTGTTATGAAGAGGAGGGGCGGGGTGGAAAAAAGAAACAAAAAATTGAGTAAGAGAAGTATTGAAGAGAGCTACTGGAAATTTGAAAGCAATATTCATTCACTGCCACAAAAATTCCGGTACACAAAAATTCCACTTTGTGGAAAAGAATACTACAAGAAGTTCCTCCCCTACTGGTCTTCCTTCTTTGCCCGGCCCCCATTACAAACTTAAAAACAAGAAGTGAAAAAACAAAGAGGGTGAGGTACGGGAGCTTCCTTCTTCTTAGCTTTTTCTTTGCTTCTGTAGAAGTCTGTCTTGCTTACTCGCTGCTTTCCTGAATGTTTTCAAGTTTGTAGTGCTTTAGTTCTTAGAACTCAATTGGCATGCGTTGCATTTCATTTTTAGCATCAATCAGAAGTTGTCTGGTAGAGTTTATACTTACATATGATGGGAATCCAGAGGGGATATAATTCATGGAAAAAGATTGATTGGGGGAATAGTTAGAATATCAAGAAACTATAAAGGGATAAAATCTCAGTTTCTGCAGCTGGGATCCTTTCTGTTTTCGTTTTCTTTTTGTGTATCTGAGCTGGTATCTGCTGGCTATTTTGTGGGATGCGTGTAGTTGGTGGTGGAGATGGAGAAATTTTGAAGGCGTGTTGATTGAAATAAGACAAAAGCCTAAAGAAAAAGTGAACCCAAACATAGATAGCAGAAAAGAAGCTGAAGGAAACACACTTCTTTTTTTTTTTTTTTCCTTGAAAATGGTTTCTTTTGGACTTCTTTGCCAACTGTTTTGCACAATAGAGTCCTTTTGATACCTCTAGGATGGTCATGTTTTGCATTTCGTTTAAAGACTTAAACTGAAAATTATCTATGCTAGTGTCTTCCCTGGGTCTTCCAGTGAAGTTGGGCATCTATATACACGCGTGGCATCATCTTTCTCAGCTTGTTTTTGTCAACGCACAAAGAGGTTAATTTGTCGGTGAACTGTTGAAGGACATGAGGAATAATGTTTATATGCTAATAAAATGTTAAGATAGAGGGACCAGGAGAACCCATTCTTGCACATTTTGAATTTTGAGAATGCTTGTCATTCCTGAGGCCATAGTTGTATTATGGGTCAGTAGGGAAACTTATGCATCGGGGTCACCTTGACTGAGTTCCGTGACAGGGCTTGGAGGTTAAATAGCCACGTGCAGTAAGTCAATGAGTTTAAGCTTTATGTCTTTTCTCTATGTGAGTTTAATAGATCTAGTCGTTATCTACTTGCTTTACTCTAAGGAATAGCAGCATCTTTGTACAAATCAGACTAGCATACATCTATCTCAGATCGGATTGTAACTGATAATTTTTGTAGGCTGAGAAATGGAAACAAATTAAAGATGGAATGGCATGGTCAAATAATTGGATTGGCATAATGCCTTGTCTGCCACTTTTGGGATTGATAATATTTGATTTTTAAAACAACTAGTGTGAACATTCAAAAAGAATGTACGAGTTACTTTTGCAAATGAGTAGTAAACAGCTTGCATAAAAATTAAGTCATTGTGACAAATTTTGGCATATTGTTTCAATTTCATTTAACTTTACTGCTGAGATGCATATTATTGAGATCTGGTGAGGATTGGGCTATCACAGATTCACTTGAACTTGTTTTTCCAATTGTGCACTGTAGTAAGCCAATTACAAATTTTTTGCCTTCAAAATGGTTGCATTGAGTCCTTTAAGGTCTCAATTAGCTCCTTTTAACTTGCTGCTTTGGTCCTTTTTTCCAGACTAGAACTATCAGCTATGACAAGTATTTTAGCAAGCAAAACATGTATTTGGTCTCCGGCAGATCAGGATTATTTGTCTAAGGGTAGAAGCTGCAGAAATCCCACTTTTAAATTCTCAAATCTGGATTCTCCTTCCAAAGAACTCTTTACTCCTAATTTACACCTGGTAAGTGGACGTCACCAAAGTGCTAGAAACTTTGGGCCAGTTTTTTCTGGTGCACTTGATGGTGATATGGATCCAGATGAGCCTACTGATGAAAAGGACAATGAGGATTCTCCCAAGGATGAACCTGGAGGGGTAGGTTAAACTTTTAAACACCCCTCTTCCTCTTCTCATACTCCCTTCTCCCAGTAATCATATGCAAGTCTGGAGAAGGCGTGTGTTGTAGCTTTCTCTGCTATGATTTTACAACTTGCTGTTTCCCTGAAGTATTTGACATATATGTGTAAGTGATAGTCACATTCTAAAGGAATTTTGGCTGGAATGACTGACTACTAGGTCTGCATCACATTATTTTCTACTATACCCAGAAAAATTAAGAAGATTGAGCAAAATTTATATGAACTTGTCTAATTGCCATATGCCAGTTATAGATTCTGCCACTTATCTCCTCCACTGATTTATGGGAGTTGATTCGTATAATATGTTGCCCATCCGAAGATTACATGTAAATTTTGTTTTTTTTTTTTCTTCTTTGCTATGTTAATTAGGCATATTGCTTACATATTGCTCATTGGAATATGCATATGCTCTATCTCTGCATGTATTACACAACATTGCCATTTCCTTTGAGACAAAAATCACTAAATTCTTGAAACCTTTTTCCAAAATTTCAGTTTCCCTCTACGGTTATTTTTTCCTCAGTTGTGAGCTACGTGAGTATAAGGCTTAATTTACTATAATAACTTATCTTCCTATCAAATTACCTACAGATTTTGCATAGTAACTGACTGTATGCTCATGTGAATAGATAATCATTCTTGTCTGTTGGGTTTCCAAAATTTTCTTCTAGATGAGATTTGGATCTTCTGGAAGACACTTGGACAATTTGTTGCTTAAGTGAGGACATTTCAATTTCATAGAATTGGTCACACATGATAAACAGAATCTGATTTTTATAATTCGGATGCCATTTGGGACATCATGAACCTAGCTAGTAAATTAAACATGGATAAAGTTTGGCTGGTAAAGTGAGTTTTTTCATTGCCCTTAGATTCAGAACTGTAATTCAAGTAGCCACCATTGTACAAACTGCATCTATCTTTTCATGCTGGTCAAATAGTGTATATACTGCTTGTACCTATGCAAGTCGAATAAACTTTTTGTTCTAATAGGTGAATAGTGAGACTCTAAGGGAAAAGCTTGAAAGAATTGTTGGAACAGACGACTCTACTTTCAGTGGGATAGACTTGGCAACTCTTATACGGAACAAATTTGGGAGGTCCTACGATGTTCAACTGATAAAAAAGGTATTTATTACCTGGATTTTTCTCTATATAACATATAATTATTTTGGTTTTCTGATGACCTAAACTGAAACGACAATAGTATTCAGAAAGATTTTGAAGCAGGCCATAGCACTAGGGAAAGGGAAAGTACTTTGGTTCATGTTCAGTGGCCAGGTTTTTAGAGGAAATTGAGAGAAGGGAAATGGACATTACTTCATTTCATCATCAAAGTCTCAGTTTTTAGCGAAACCAAGAAAGGAAATTTACAAGTTAACATAGCACATAAGTTCTATGCAAAGAAAGACAGATGAAACTGAATAAATGTGCTTTTCTGCTGAAGGATAAAAAGAATGCTACATGGGAGATTGCTAGTCACTATTTTGTTTTCACATTAACTTACACTCAGAATATTTAAATAGGAAATTGAGATGTTTGGAGAAGTGTGAAGGTTTGAGAATGGAGAGTGGAAGATTTAGCTTATCTTTGGATTAACTGGCTCTAGAGCATATTGATAGCTGGTGGACATGAGTTTAGGCACCACTTCTGGACAGGAAAAGTTTATTCACATTAGTCCACTTAAATCATACTCTATGTTGGAATAAAGTTCTGTAATACATAACACTTTATCCACTTTACACCACTTATACCAGTCCCTATGTTGGGGGCCAAGTGTTGGATCCCTTCATGAGTGTGAACTATCATTCAAGATGATGTAAATCTATCCTCCAACCGCGGGTTTCATAAAAGAGACGTGAAGTGTTGTCTTCGAAAGTGCACTTTCCTTGGCACTAAACCAACCTATGGTTGACCAATCGTATTTTCTGTTATCATAGCTGTTAAGAGAATATAAGTATCCTTGTAGATAATAAATTAGTAAGGGTATTCTTGTAAATAGTTTGTTAGGTTTGTACTCCTATAAATACTAGTTGGTCACTCATAATACAGTGACTAGATGTTTTCCTTCCAAGATATCTGTTGACATGGTATCAGAGCAAAAGTCCTAGGGTTAGGGTTAAACATCTAGCAAAATCACTGTTCACGCCGCACTGTTCATCGCGGCACTGTACACGCGTACTGTTCACGGTACTGTTCACGCTGTACTGTTCACGCAGTTACTGTTCATGCCGTTACTGTTCACGGCTCAAGTTTTGACCCGTTCTTTTGTTTGACGTGCTATTCGCTATGGTTGAAAGGTTTGTTAATACGGTTATCACTGACCAAGTTGAATCAAGTTTTTCAGCACATGGGTCCTAGAAAACTGTTACTATATCTGAGGAAGATTATGTTAAATTCCTACAGTACCAAGCTACAAATCACACATCTCTTCCCTCTGCTTCTTTAGCACAAAAAGGTAATGACTAGGGCTGCAAACGAATCGAGCCGCTCGCGAGCGGCTCGAGTCAAGCTCGAGTCGAGCTCAGAATATTAAGCTCGTTAGCTCGCGAGCCGGCTCGCGAGTTTGAGTATATATATTTATATATATTTTTTATTTTTATTTAATAATAAAATTACGTATATTATATATAAATATATTTTTATTTTTTATTTTCATAGTGAAATTACGTATATATCCTTAATATTTTATTATTTATTCAGAAAAAAATATTATTTTTTTTTATTTTTTTAAAAATAAAATAAATTTTTTTTATTTTTTTTCGAGCTCGAGCTTGAGCTCGGCTCGACTTGATTCGAGTCGAGCTCGAGCTCGAAAATTGCCAGCTCGTCGAGCTCGAGCTTGGTAAAATTTAATCGAGGCTGGGGCTCGATTAGCTCAAAACTCGACTCGACTCGGCTCGTTTGCAGCCCTAATAATGACTCATGGATTATTGATTCCGGAGCTACTGATCATATGTCAGGTACCTCTAAAATTTTTTCTAATTTTCAAGAGTCTACTTCCTTTCCTCATGTTACTTTAGCTGATGGATCTACCACTAAAGTTAAAGAACTAGGCACTGTAGAAATTAATCCATCACTTCCGCTGTCTTCTGTTCTTTACGTACCCAATTTGCCCTTTAATTTAATGTCTGTTAGTAAGCTCACTAAATTTCTACAGTGCACAGTTACTTTTTCTCCTGATTCTGTTGTCATTTAGGATTTGAAGACAAAGAGGACGATTGGTGGAGGGCATGAGCATAATGGTCTTTACTTTCTCAACTTCAATGGTCCGATAGCATGTCCTGTTACTGTTTCTCCTCTTGAAATTCACTGTCGTTTAGGTCATCCGTCTTTACAAAATTTGAAAAAGTTGGTTCCTACTTTGAGTCAATTATCTTCGTTAGAATGTGAGTCTTGTCAGCTAGGAAAGCATCATCGTGTTTCTTTTGCTCCTAGAGTCAATAAACGGGTTTCTGAACCATTTTTGTTAGTTCATTATGATGTTTGGGGTCCTAGTCGAGTCACTTCAAAGTTAGGTTTTAAATATTTTGTAGTTTTTGTTGATGATTTTTCCAGAGTTACATGGCTTTATTTAATGAAAGATCGTTCAGAATTATATTCCATTTTTTGTGCATTTGTTACAGAAATAAAGAATCAATTTGGTGTGCCTGTACGTATACTTCGCAGTGATAATGCGAAAGAATATTTTTCCACTCCTTTTAATACCTTTATGACTAAGTCTGGTATTATTCATCAGTCCTCTTGTCCTCACACTCCACAACAGAATGGAGTTGCTGAAAGAAAAATTGGACATTTAATCGAAATTGCCCGAACATTGTTGTTGCACACGAATGTGCCTAAACAATTTTGGAGTGATGCAGTTCTAACTGCATGTTATTTAATTAATCGCATGCCATCTAATATTCTTGGAGGTCAATTACCTCACTCCATTCTTTTTCCTCATGAACCTGTGTTTAAATTGCCTCCTCGTATTTTTGGATGTGTGTGCTTTGTTCATCAGCTTGCTCTCGGGGTGGATAAATTAGATTCTCGTGCTATTAAGTGTATTTTCTTAGGATACGCACGAGCGCAAAAAGGGTATAGATGTTACAGTCCAATTTTAAATCGATTTTTTACTTGTGCTGATGTTACTTTCTTTGAATCCACTCCATATTTTATCAAACAAAGTATGTCTTGTGAGTTAGACCAGTGTCCCTCTTTTTCCTCTCCTGTTTTACCAGTCCCTTCCCCTTTATTACCTGAGTTATCTAGTCCCCCAGATTCCATAGCTCGATTATCTCGCCCTCATCTTCAAGTTTACTCTCGTCGTTCCATGGTTGAGAAAGTTCCTGATATGCCACGCACTTCACCAATTAACTCTCAATCTTCAAATCCAGGTATGACGCCCTCTTCTGAGTTAGATCTTCCTATTGCTTTACGCAAAGGTAAGAGACATTGTACTTCCCATCCTATTTCTAATTTTGTTTCTTATTCTCGTCTCTCTATGTCATATTCTTCTTTTGTTGCTTCCCTTGATTCTATTTCCATTCCTAAGTCTATTACCTATGCTCTTAATCATCCTGGTTGGAGATTAGCTATGCAAGAAGAGATGTCTGCTTTGGAACAAAATGGTACTTGGGATCTTGTCCCTCGTCCTTCAGGTAAGCTGTTGTTGGTTGTAAATGGGTGTACACTATAAAAGTGCAGCCTAATGGTTCTATTGATAGATTGAAGGCTCGTCTGGTAGCTAGAGGATTTACTCAGGTGTATGGAGTAGACTACTTAGAAACATTTTCTCCTGTTGCAAAGATTACCTCTGTTCGTCTTCTTATCTCTTTGGCAGCAACTTATAATTGGCCATTGCATCAATTGGATGTGAAAAATGCATTTCTGCATGGCGATTTGGAAGAAGAGGTATATATGGAACAACCTCCTGGATTTGTTGTTCAGGGGGAGAATTCGCGGTTGGTTTGTCGTTTGAAAAAATCCTTATATGGATTGAAACAGTCTCCGAGGGCTTGGTTTGGCCGGTTTAGTAGTGTTGTCATGGAGTTCGGTCTGACAAGATGTGGAGTAGATCACTCTGTATTTTATCGGCATTCTAATGCTGGTAAAATTTTATTAGTTGTTTATGTGGATGACATTGTGATTACAGGTGATGATGTTGTGGGGATCCAGAAACTTAAATCCAATCTGCAGGCAAACTTTCAGACAAAGGATTTAGGTCATCTACAGTATTTTCTGGGTATTGAGGTAGCTCGATCTAAATATGGGATTTATTTATGTCAAAGAAAATATGTACCCGATATGTTGAGTGAAGTTGGGATGTTAGGTTGCCGACCTGTGGATACTCCTATGGATCCCAATGTGAAATTAGCTGGAGATCAAGGTGTATTACTTGATGATCCTAAGCAATATCGAAGACTTGTGGGTAAATTAAATTATCTCACTGTAACGAGACCTGACATTTCGTTTGCAGTGAGTGTTGTGAGTCAATTTCTTGATACCCCTCGTACTAGTCATTGGGATGCTGTTATACGGATTCTCAGGTATCTTAAGAGTGCTCCTGGAAAAGGGTTGCTATATCAAAATCATGGACACACTGATATTGAAGGATATAGTGATGCAGATTGGGCTGGTTCTGCCTCAGATCGAAGATCGACTACAGGATATTGTGTGTTTGTTGGTGGTAATTTAGTGTCGTGGAAGAGTAAGAAGCAAACAGTTGTATCCAGATCAAGTGCAGAATCTGAATACCGCGCTATGGCTCACACTGTGTGTGAGTTGGTTTGGTTGAAGAGCATGTTACTAGAACTTGGGTTTGAGCATAAACAGCCTATGAATTTAGTGTGTGATAATCAAGCGGCTGTTCATATTGCGTCTAATCCAGTGTTTCATGAAAGGACAAAACATATTGAAGTTGATTGTCATTTCATTCGAGAGAAATTGCTTGACGGGGTCATCAAGACATCTCATGTACATATTGCGTCTAATCCAGTGTTTCATGAAAGGACAAAACATATTGAAGTTGATTGTCATTTCATTCGAGAGAAATTGCTTGACGGGGTCATCAAGACATCTCATGTACCGTCTGTAGATCAGTTGGCTGATGTGTTTACCAAGAGTTTAGGGGGTTCTAGGGTGAAATACATTTGTAACAAGTTGGGTGCTTATGATATATATGCTCCAACTTGAGGGGGGGTGTTAAGAGAATATAAGTATCCTTGTAAATAATAAATTAGTAAGGGTATTCTTGTAAATAGTTTGTTAGGTTTGTACTCCTATAAATACTAGTTGGTCACTCATAATACAGTGACTAGATGTTTTCCTTCCAAGATATCTGTTGACAATAGCCCTTTAATTTCTTTATTGAAATATTTTGTTATAGGCTGTCTCTATGTAACTCTGGATAACTCTTTAACTAAGTTTGAAGGTTTGGATAAATAATACGACCTATATGATTGAGAGAAGCCATGTCCAGTTAACTGACACTTGTGACCATACAAATTTCAATAATGTGACTTCTCTGTTGCACACCAGTAAAATTCCATTGGGCAGGAGTGTATCCAAGGATCCAAAGTTCTTATTAAAAGTCTTACTTTTTCTCCGCCACTTTCTGTGAGTCATTTATTCTCAATCCCAGTACGGATAACAGGTTTAGACTTTGTTGTGAAGACGCATTTGATACACAAAGGAATATAAGAGCTAAACCAAGCTAAGACAGTTTGCTTTACAGGTCAAGATGATAGTTTGTGTAGTTTGGGTATTGGAGCATACTTGTCTAGTTGTCCTCCAAAATGCAGAATAATGTATAGAGAGGTCAATTAGGTGATTTTTATTTTATCATCATCATTATTTTTTTGAACACAAGAAACTATTAGTAGATCGTGGTCCATATTTTTAGATTTGGATTAATTCCGGTCACCTCCATTGTGTTTTAGGTAGACTATCAGTATACCTCCTAAAACTTCATAAGATCATGTCATTACAAAAGAAAGATGAACTTCAGGAATTAGCTCCTTATTTGAAGAAGCAACTTAGAACTTTGAGTTTAAAAATAAAAGGAAAAAGAATGCTCCTTGCTTGTTTTGTCTTCCTCCATCTTCTTCCAGTTACTATTGGATTGGATGGTGGATAACTGCTAATGGTGGATGTGCAAAGAGTTCAAGCACCCAAAGAAATAGTTGTTGGAAAAGTTTTGATAGATGGATCAAGAAAGTTTATCTTCCGTTCTCTAAGTGGTTCACATCATGCCACTTTGTGTGTATAAAATAACGGTAAATATTCTTTTTGTCTTTTTTGTGGTGTATAGTGTACATCATGGAATTAACAGCTCACTAACACTTGAACCAAATAGTCAAATGCTTAAGCCCATGATACAGGTTGGCAGAAGAGTTTGGCTGAGCATAGTGGTAATTGTGATAGCCATAGTTCTTAGGGCATATTAAGTTAGGAACCTCAATGATATTCTTCATTCCTTTTGCAAGCTTCCATGCAAGATTGGAGTGACAATTTAAGGATGATTTTTTTTAAAAAATTTTCTATGCTTCAATATGCGAAATCTCAAGTTCTGTTGATGAAACATTTTCATAAATGTTTCAATTTCTGTGGCCGCATTTGAAGAATATACTCCTTCCATCTGCTCTCCAGGAATTCATGGGAAGGAATCTCCTTGCACTAAATGTTATGTGGAAGTACAGGGAACAGGTAAGATCGTCTCTCTGACTATATATGGGACTTCTATTTTGAGATTATGTTGCTGTTATAATCAAGTTTGAGAAATATGTTTTCATTGCCGACTAAAGGCAAAGAATACAAGGTTGATTCGTGAGAGGTTTACAGCCTGTCTGGCTGAGGATTTTCTGGACAGACTCTTAATAACAGCATTTAGATAGTTGCCTCCTGCAAAAGGTAGGGAGGGTAACATTTTGATGCCCATGGATTGTACTTGTATGAAAAATTGTATTTTGATTCCCAAAACTTACTTTAAACTACTTGTTTGAGCTGCGTATGAGTGTTATAGTACAGTCACGGCAATTACTTTTGTTTCTTGTCATGCTTGATAAATAATGCTAAGTATCAAGCCTGTACAGTTCTCACTTGTTGACTGTATGCACTTTGAAGCCGATTCCCTCATCTGATGCCTGGTAACTTGTCCCAGAGATCTTTCCCTTTAACCGAAGAAGAGTATCTACTGAGGCTTGATGATGTGGCAAACACATTAAAATGCTGGGGAGCTGTATCACATGTTCGGAACAGCCTCAAAAAATTGAGAGAGAAAGAGAGGCCTCGGATAGGGAAGGTAAAATCTACGGCTGTTGCTATTGTTTCCCACTTTGAAATAAAACATGAAGTAAAATGAGTCGATCTGAAAAAGTGAAGCCTGAAGCATATGGATAGACTCAAATACATGCAAGCATGGTGATGAAACTTTGGTTTTACTCTTTTCCTTGATTCCTTTTATATGGATTCATACCTTTCATGCCTTCACTTGATTAAACTCCAAAATTCCTAGATAGTCATTATTTTTAATCTAAACGTAACATATTTCTTATCATTAAATTATTCTTTGTTCAATTTACTATTCAATTCTAAATTACAAATTTTTAGTCCTGGCATCTTCTTTAGCAGTTAACTTTTAATCTGTTTTGTCAAATTTAGTGGAGACTTTAGTACATATACAGAAAAAGTGACAAACAAGAAAGTAGATATACCTCCCCTATCTGTACGTGGCACTGTCTTATGTTGTTGAGCTTTGGAATGTACCCAACATAGTTGTTCTTGTGGTTTGTAACGCTTGTTCTAAATATTGATTCTTCGTTACAAATAAATGCTTGGTCTGAGAGAGCTAAAGCCACAGAGGTTAGGAGTGTGTGAAAAAAGAGAGAGGGAGGAGGGTCAGAAAAGGTAATGCAGGCACTTCTTGTCTTTCCTACCTTTTCTTGAATAAGCCCAAATGCTCCAAACTTAACAGTAGCAGTGGCATTCAATATCTAAACTGCACTAAGTACCAAGTTTGTACACTTCTAAATGTTGAGTGGGGGATTTAGGGGAAAAAAAAATTAGTTAGCGATTAAAATCTTTTAGCGAACTCAAAGAGTATATTATGTGTAACTAGGGCCATTACATTACATCCCATTTTGTGTTAATAATGAGAAAAACAACTTGAATCTTTGGAACATGAAGCCTGAATACCTACTTTTGTTTTTGTATCCTTTCCTACTTATTCATTGTTGTGGTCTACTTATTGTCGTGCTCAGTTATTATGAATATTACAGTGACCATGATGTGATGGTTATTGGGTACATATTGGCTGTTTTGAAGTGGTTCAAGTTTTGATGTGATGGTTATTGGGTACAAGTTGTGTCAAACTATGTCACTATGGGTAGCTTGATTGATTTTTGGTCTATATATAGGCACAACAATGTCGAATTTTATCTCTCTTCTTTCTGCTTGTTACAGGCTGTTAGCATTTTTATAGACATGGATGAGTCTGGAGGCCGTGCAACTGAATGGATATACAAGTAGATGGTAGGAAAAAACATTTATTGATTAGTCAGTGGTATATGGTGGTCCATTTCTTTTTGGACATTTAGCATACGATATTTCCAGCCATCAGTGGCTTATTGAGGTGCTGGCGTTGCCATGACAAAGATGCTCGAGCCACAGTTTTTTGCTGTATATTTTTCCTTCTTTTACCTCTAGGATATGTTTACTGGTTAGAAGACTTGGTGCCTTTTCGTTAAAACAAGAGTTCTCACCTTGCAGCAGAGTATTGAGTCCCTGTGTAGTTCCTTTATGATTGTGACAATGTTACTACGGCTCCTACCTACGTGTAGTCTGTGTTGAAAGTAAATCCGGCAGCCTTCTGTTATCCAGCTAACCATTAATTGTTTGTAATTTTAAAGAAAAAAGGATAATAACTTGATGAATTACCTTAAAATTTGAGAGTGAGCAAAAAGTAGAGACTGGCCGTGGAGACTTGAGGGATCGAGCGAAGAGAGATGGAGTACTGCAAGAAACTTCAGGAAACTTGAATCAAAGAAAACGACACAAGGGGAGGGCTACTCTATTTCTCTTCATGCTTTGAAGTCATTTTGGAATTTTATTCTTTTACAAGTGAATGTGGTGTGAAGGAAACTACAGGTATGTGATTGCTTCCCATCATGGTAATGAGTCTGGAAATGCTTGATGATGCAACTTTATGAATGTAGTCATGTACAACTTGAATATATGGGATGTGATGCATGTGCAGTAAGGGTCAACACATCCTTGGCAAAGCTTCGCCGTGAGCAACTGCAGCTGCATTAAGCATAAGCCTGCCCTTTTTCATTCTGGACATCTGGCCCTTCATTTCTCTGCACACCTTCTCCAATTCCACCACTCTCCGTTGCATTCTCTGAATGTTCTGTCTGATGTCAAAACTCTCGTCTCCAAAGGTCTCATAGCCATCAAGATCAAAGCTGCCAGGCTTCTCCGGGGCAATGGGCGGGCTCCTGCTCTTGCTAGTTGAATTCGATCCGTGATCATTGACAAACAGAACATCAGCTGAAGATGGCACATGACTTGAATGCTGAGAAGCAAGTGCTTGAACAGAGATTCTTGGAGGTATTTTGGGATTCTTTGCCAGGTCCTTGCAGCATTCCAGGCTCAGCTTCTCGTAGTTCAGACATCTGCAGAGTCTTGAACGCTCTTCTAGTGAAAGTGCAGGATGAGACTGCGAGGATCAGCGCCATAATTAGTTCAACCAAACCTCAAGCTAGATTTATGAGAATCCTCTCCTATGACATCTTCCTACTGCACACTGATTACGCTAGAGAAGGTACTTCATCTGATGGATGGAATTATCATCCTGGATTAACATTCTGAAAAGGAGGCCATAGACAAATCCTATTCCAGAACTTTTATTCTACTATTTCAACTGATTCCAGGGATGCCTTTGCCAATTCAATTCCTTCAATATACTAAGTTGCAGAAAGTGCTCTAAATTAACCACAAAATATTATTGTATGTGAGCCATGAAATGTTAATTCCATGAATATTTGCCTCGAACAAGATGAAGAAGAAGAAGAAATCATCCCTGAATATTATTATTACCGGAACTACTAAGCCCAGTTCATATCTATACACAAAATTTTGAGGACCTAAATGTGCAGTAAAGAAAAGAAATATGATAGTTTACACACCGGCAGTGTTTATAAGATTTTACTCAAAGAAATAATCTTCCGGGACAAAAATGCTTAAAAGATTCCATTGGGTAGAAAGATACGAGGATATAATTGTGAATGTGGTTTAAAATATTTCCAGTGGAGTACAATCTATCTATGTGCTCCATTATTATTTTACAAACAATTGGGCGTCAGAAGTTTCTTTCACAATCGTTAGCACAAAGAGATAAGGCATCATTTTCAACCAGACCAAGTAACACTTTTGAAATTCTACTATTGTCTTTTCTCTTATTTGTTGTCTTTGTCCATTTTATTCTACCCATCAAATTATATATGTATATATGTATATGTATATATTTTATTTACTGTGGAAGTTATGGATAGATAGAAAACGAAGGGGGCCAAATTTCAAAACTTTTTACCTCCTAGTTATTATTCATGATGTGCTATCTCTCTCTCTTCTCTGATATGTTTATGGTCAATCACCACCCTTTTCATTCAGTTTGTAATCACTTTTCTGAACCAAAAAAAAAAAAAAAAAAAATTCTGCAACTTATCGAAATCCAGAAAAGTAATTAAAGCTCCACTTAGCTTGAAAAAAATTCTACGTGAGGATTAAGGCCTTGTTCTCAGTTGGTTTAAATTTTACAAAATCTGATTATAAAAACTGATTAAAGAGCATAATCAGAACTTGAATGATTATAGATTTTAGCTTTTTTATTCATTAATAAATTTATAATCATGATACAAATGCAATCGAGAATATCACAAAAGTAATAGAAAGCAGTCCAATAATATTCATATAATCTAGTAGTAGGAGCACAAAATTACCTCAAGATAAATGTCAATTGCTCTGTAGACTCCATCAAAGCAGTCTCTAGCACAGTCCGGCAAGCTCTCGGCAACACCAAGAAACCTTGAGATCTTGAGGTTCTGATCAGGCGCTATCTCTCCCAAGTACTTGTCCATTAGCATCCCAACCCTCTTCATCTTCTCCACCGTGACAGCTCCTTCACTCTGAACAAACTGCCTCACCAGCCTCATCACCAGATTCACATCATAAACTCCCGCCCCATCTCGCCCGGACACCAGCAGATCATCCAGCGTTGCCTGATCGAGCACTCCGCCAATCAGTTTCTCCAATCCGGCCCTGCAGTTCCTGCTCAGCCCGAAACCTGAAACGACCCTCAATACCCAAAACAAACTTCTGCAAGAAAATGAAGTTCTCGCCGTCAGAACCACCCCGGAAACCGCTGTCTCTGCCAGGCCATTGTACTCGGGAGCCCTTGACTTACTGTTATTGTTGTGCCGACCGGCGGATTTTTGAAGGTAGTGGAGAAGAAACCTCGTGAGGACTGTACTGTTGTTTTCGCCAGCAAATGAACCTAAGCTCTTCGCGAAATACTCTATCGTCTTTGGAGATAGAAGGGTCAAGTCCTCGAACCACCAAAATTTAGTGGCCGCGGGGGAACATCTGAACCTGGATGAAGTTTCCGGGGAGGAGGATGCCGAGGAGGATGAAGCGATGAGCTGGTTTATGTCTGAATTCTGAGCAATCTTTGCAAGAAGCAAACACATGAGCTTTTTAACGAGACCGCATGAATCCGCAAACGAAAAGAATGGTTCCAGACTTTTGAGACAAGCCAGGACATCATTCCACGACCAATAGAACATTTGTTGAAGGAAGACTTCGGTCTGGTGCAAGAGATTGGAAGAGAACATCTTTTCGGTCATTCCAAGAAAGACTGCACAGCAATGGAGGAGAGACACATTTGAGACTGTGATCGTGGTCGCCCCGCTGTTGTAACAGAATCTGGAAACCAGTTCGAATCCATCAGGGCCTCCTGGAAAATCATCAATCTCTATCCCTGAGCTTCTGATTTGAGTCCTCTTCTTTGCTTGTCTGATCGTCCTTTTCAACTTCTCCGAGTATTTTGTAAGGATTTTCTGCAAGTTTATAGGCATTTATCAGTAAATGAAAGAATATCGGTCAAGGAAAAATGTGCACAGAACCAATAACAGCTAGCTGCTGCTTAGTTAGTTAGTTACCTGGTTAAGGAAAAATGTTTGCTGCCGATTGACAAGGATTTGCAGGTCGCAGAGGTCTGCCATGGCTGATTTGCATTGGATTACATCAACCAAGAATGAATGAAGAAGTTTTATCAGTGCTAGTCTGGCTTCAAGATGAATGAAAAAAATGGTCAAGAATCAGGATGCGCTGGCTGAGGATGTCCATGTGAAACCATACAAAACTAATATTTATAATATTAGGTGTGTAGAGCAGTACTAGGTGCAGTTTTGGACCAACTTCAGTAATAATTTTTGAAGGGGGCATCACGGGTTAAGCTGTTTTTGTTTTATTGCAGCCACCATTTTTTTTTCCTCATAATAATAGAGCAAAAGGACTTGAACTTTCTTGTTTTTTGGTTTCCTCTATATATATATATATATATATATATATATATTCTTTTCTCGTTTGATTTTTTTTTTTTTCTGACGGAGTGGGTGTTCGGGTCAATCCTTACAAGACCCGATTAATTTCACTCCACCTCAGGAGGAGAGGCTCCATCCCCCAAATACGATAATCATGGTTTCCCGTTTGATACATAGATGCAGAAAATATTGCAGAGACATATAACTTACATACATGTAGTAATAGTTATTAAGATTGAGCTTGAATGCTCTAACAACAACAATTATTTCTTGAGATTGACAAGGACAGCAAAAGTTGTTGCATGAAAGGTGGGTCGAACAATTGGAAACTGAGGGAACGAACACTTATTGCTGTGAGCTACCAATTTGGACGGCCTTGCACTATCATTTTGAACCAGCTACGTACTACTGTGGACACTACACAACTCAGTTAAGCAAAGAATTTGAGTTCAAAAAGAGACGGGACCTATTCTTCCTTGCACAAAGTCGACTAGAAGGAGCAGTTCAAGAGAAGCACAGAAAATAAGAACAGTCAATGGTGACGCCTCAATTGAAACTTGTGCAATATTTTGATCCATCACTGTGGCAATTTTCATAGCAGTGGAGAGCATGGCATGCAGTGGAGCATCATGGAGGCAGATTGCAGTGACCTTCAAAGTGTGCTGCTGCTGCCTTTCATTTCATTACACGCTAATCACTTTTGTTAGTGCTTTCTAGCCTGCAGCAGGCAGATGAGTTTTTTGAACCTGCAAAATTTGTGAAACATCAAATCTCATTTAACTAAAAGACGAGAATAAAATTTGTAGACGCTAGTTAGGATGATGAAATGTGATTTTCATAATACAAAGAGGGTGTTTTTTCTCTTTTTTTTTTTTTTTGGTATGAAATCTACGCTTTTGTCTACATCAAAAGCACATTTAATTTGTATAAAATCCAAAACACATCCCCTTCAAGATGATAATAATAATAATAATCCAAAATTACATCTTATTTATCAATTAGTCATCATTGCTCCCATTTTTTAACTGGGCACCAACTCGTTATTCATTTTTCCTTTTTTTTTTTTTGGGTTCATTTCTAACACCCTTTATATATATATATATATATATATATATTTTTTTTTTTTTTTTCATGTTAAAGGAAAGTTGTAACAATCAGTGGTAAATTTTTATATAGTTGTTGTACACGTTTGCTTCTCATGAAAGTACAAGACAGAACAGCACAATTTTTTCATATGTACCATCTGAACG